AAATTTACGACAGATGATGCTGACGTTAAAAAAAAAGTTTTTATGCTACATGGAAAACATCGGAAGCCCAGATTTCGTTGCCACTGCATGTAGCATGTAGAACAGTGCACCGGGAGCGAATCAGTTACATGGTTATACTGTCTGCATCAGAGTATTATAGATCAGAGACGACTCTAACCGTTGGAAACTATAATAATTCTCTGGGCTGAAACTTCTGTGTGAATATTTCTACGTTTAATATCATTTTATACGTAAAAATGTAATTTTCTAGTGTCACTTTAAATATACTCCCCATCGAACGAAATAAAAATTCACAAATAGATTTAATATCGCCAGTAGCTTAAAACCAATTATATGTAGTTTTTTTTAAACGACCTACACTGGCCAATGTTTTTATTTGAAAAAACGACGTTTCGGTCCCAGATTTAGGCCATTTTCAAGTAAATCTGTTCACACAATTGTTAATGATCTCATATCGTTCGTTTGGCCAATATCGTTATGTTAGTAAGATATTAGTCAAACAAACGATATGAGATCGTTAACAATTGTGTGAACAGATTACTTGAAAAAGGTCCGAATCTGGGACCAAAACGTCGTCTTTTAAAATTAAAACATTGACTAGTGTAGGTGGTTTTTAGTCAAGAATATTTTCCGAAATCTCTATCAAATAACGCTCCGTTGAGTCCCACGTACATTTCGATTCCGCGCGAAAAAGACCGTTGGCGCCTTTTATTGTATTTCGCGTGATAAAGACTCCGAAGAATTGAATACGAAAAGCGACATAACGACAGGCTCGGTATGGACGATTCTAAGCGAGGCGGAGTGACAAGGGTGCACGCCGACACTAACGGCGGGCGAGGGTGTCGGCGGCCAGTCGCTCTGCGAGGGCGGAGGGTGGTTTCGACGTTGAAGGATGGCACGTCGCTCTGGCGAGACGCGCCGGGAATGCTTTGCCATGTACACGTACAACACGCGTTTAGACAGAAATGTAACTCGTGTTGCAAACGGGCGGCATCCCTCCGGCCAGGCGATCCGCGGACTGTACGGCCCGCGTATGAATCGTTCTCGTACCGCGACGAATAACGTTCGACGGACCGACACGCGTGTACCTCCGCGATTTTATCGGATTTAAACTATGAAACTATGCACCGTGATGCGCGACGTCAAAGCCGCGTTTTGTTCCGGCGCATTCTGCGCGAGCGAATTTTGTTGTAATTGAGAGAACACATAAATAAAGCTGTCAGGATGTTAACGGTCTTTCCGAAGACAAATATTATAGTTTGCTAACCGCCTGACAGAATTCCCGAAGGAATTTCAATGTAGCAACATTTATCGCGAAAATGTCAATCGACAAAAAAAAGTCTAAATCCAAACTAAAACTGCTGGAGTTAGATATTGCCCAATACCTTTTAATTATGATTTATTATCTACGTGGGTTAAACTGTGTATTTATACGAATATTTCTCTTGTCTTAAGTAAAATGCGTCGTAAACATTTATTCCGGAGATTTATCTATTTCACTAAATGGAGTAACACATTCTAAACGTCAACTGATTGTCTTCTGGAGATTTACTTTTATTTAATTTAAATATACAATAATCTCTTTCTTTCATCTTCGAGAGATAATAATATACTATACTACATTAAGAACTTTATTATTGTTCATCATTTTTTATTAAACTTTTATTAGAAAATTTTTTAATTTCTATCGAATTTCGATTTTCTATGTATTTTAAGCGATTTGCGTAGCTTTTAATTATTATTTCATTGCATAATAAAGCACCAAAAAGTGTCGATAAATACGCAAAACGGTCAATAATGACTCATTAATGAAGCTTCATTTCATATGCTTTTTGTTATCGAATCACTGATCGTTTTGGTTATTAGCATATATGGCTGACATTTTTTGGCATTTTATTAAGCAACTAAATAATAATTAGAACTCAAATTGCCGTAATTCTAAATGAAGAAACAAAACGGTCAATCCATAGTTCGATGAGTATTTGCACAGATTTCAAGATTACGTACTTATTACTAATTCATCATAGCCCACCCAGTTTCATACACATATAGTATATATACAGAGAGAATCTATACAATATTTTACTTATTGATAGAACTGTATCTTTTTAACCGAGCTTGCTCAGCTACATTTGGAATATTACTTATATTAGAGTATTAGAGCATTTATACAAATATTATATTTGATACAATACTTCTCGTACTGCTCGATTTATTAAAATCTCAGTTTAAAATAAAAATACTTTGTCACTCACCAACACACGACGCGAAGCGGCAAAGTTAATTGTATGAGCATAAATTTTCGCGATCTGTTATATACGTACAAGTTAGAATTGGAGCTCGCAATAACTAACACTTTAAAAACTAATTACCACAAATATGAAATAACTATGTCGGTAAAAATCGAAAAGAATCATTTTTCACAATGCAAACTTTTATAAAATCTAATAAAACAACTCAAGTCCGACTGTAATATAAGTAATATTCCAATAACGAATCGCAAATAAGAGATCGGACACTCACCCCATGGTTGCTCCGCCGTCGCCCGATGCCTGCCAGTCCTCCTCCTCTTTGTTTCAGCCACACAACACAGCACAACACAGCACAGCACAGCACAGCACAACACGGCACTACACAACACAACGTAATACTCGCGTAAGCACTGTTAATTATCGTCACACGTGATATTCACACGCAACAATTATTCACTCGAGTTGATAACGGTAAGGAATAATCACGTCGATCGTCTCTCTTGCTGCAATATATGAGACGTAATGCGAAGCACTCTGCACCGATACGTGAGTGATAACGAAGTGAGCACAATACGTCGTACACCACGAAAAGTCAGACAAACCGAGCACCGAGCGTCACGCCGTTCTGAAACATTTCGTGTATTTTTCAAATGGTTTTCTTCAATATGTTCCGTTCTTCACACTTCGTATTATTAACGAATTATCGTATCACACGCGGCATCGCGCTCGCGAGTTCGCGTATTACTTTCGACTTGAAAACGAATCACGTATAAATCGGAAAGGAATTCAAAGCGACGTATCGTACACCTCAGTTCAGACATCGTTGACCGTAAAATCGTATTAATGAAACGGTGATTCGAAACGTTTGCTTTCCGACACTCCGATTTTCAGTAATTTCCAGCTCGAACGAGTGAAAATCTGCGTGGTTGCTTAATCTTGGCTCGCCACGGCAGCGATTCATGGCGCTCACTAGTAACTGTTATCTGCGAGGATCGCGATTAGTGTCCTGAGAGATAATGCGACGATGTTTAACGCTTCCCTCGATTGTGTCCCGGGAAATAATGTGTCGCGCGGAGCGAAACGCGCCACCGCCGACTCGCTCGGTAGTCGGCGAACGAATGTTTGCGCCGCAGCGACCGTGACTTTGATACGCGGTTGCGACCTTGTTACGCACTACGATTTGAAAAACAGGTATACACCGTGGGCCGAAACAACGAGAACTGCGTGGATTAGCCAAATATTTCGTTCTTTATCTTCTCTTACGTTATTAAGCGATCCATTGAGAAACGAAATGGTACACGGAGATAATTTTCTCGTGCAATTCACTCTGAAAATCATGTAATCGTGAGGCAACGTTGCATTTTGAAGAACTTTATGAGTTTCTTCAAATTTTACCATACATTTTTACTATTAATTATACTTATTGTTAGTATACATTTTACTAGTAAAATGTATGGTAACAATTCAAAAATATTCTCGTAAATAAGTTCTCGTAAAAAGTCTCGTAAATGCCATGTTGTACCACGATTTTCAGGGTAAATTTGACGAGAAAATTCTTTCCGTGCATGGGATAAGAGAATTTTTAATTATTGATCTCGTGACTTTTTCAACGATATTTAAACTTAAATGTGTTTCGTACATGAAGTTGCTCCGAATGCATTATTGTGCTTTCTTTCACACGTGTTAGCATCCCCTAAGACTAAGATATCGATTAATTTTTCTCAAGTGCATAATTAGTTAGTCGTTTAAATTTTCATGTAAAAACAGATTCCCATGTAACGGTTAGAATTTACCGGCGAAATTTCTGTTAAAAGCCAAAATTTCAACATTAATTATGTATCGTCTAGAATTTAAGCGTGTAATTATAAGCGCCAGTATGAACTCTACGCGATACCATTAATGTTTAGTTTTAATTATAATATTATATTGCGAGAATTATCTCGATGTTTACGAGATTTTAAATTAATTTTAAGAATATTTGAATAATCTCCGTAATATCAAAATGCTGTATTGTAGCACGGGTCGTGCATAAAAATGAATATTCTTCTTGCGAAGGCAATTAGCATTTTCCGTAGGAGCCGTATTAACATCTAGACATTTCTGAAGCTCGTTAACGACGATGTTTTGAGAGCCTTCGCTGCGCCGAAGAAACAGAGACCGTAATCGCCACACTAATCGACGCCTTAATTATTCTTCAATTATGCGCGACGGTGCGCTACCCGTTGTCTAATTTCTCCTACCTTATCCTGCCTTGTATTTTATGGTAAAGGGCCGCAACGTCACGCAGAAACATCGGTAGATATATACAAGGTATAATACAAGTAATTTGCTGTTCGTGTAACGCGAAGCGGCGAAACAGCCGTTGTTTCCCAAACGCGAACGTTTCTCGGTTACCTCGTTAATTTTCTTCTTCTAATGCTTGTAACGGTCCAATTACGCGGAATAAATTACGCTTCTGATTCGTTCTTTTCTACCAAACTTCGTGTATCGCCGCAGTTCGGGGAAAGAATGATTCGTTTTAAAATGCTTTACGCATGCGATTGAGTACTGATAAATAATATTGCTATACCACGCGGTAGTATTATTTAAATTATTTTTATTAAAGTTATAATAAAAGTGAAAACTTTTCCTAAATAATTATGCAACAATTTATATAAGAAACGCGTTTCAAGAAGATAATACACGTTATCTAATTGAATATTTCAAAGGAAATTATTTATCGCTCACCTGTTCGACCCATAGATTCGTCGTCATGATTTGGTTCTTCAAGTTCTGTAACAGAAACCACTCTTTAAATAAACATAAATACTGTTACATTTTTTAATTATATTATCGTAAAGTAATAATCCGTTTGCAATTATATATCCTAGTTTGTGTAATTTACATATATTTTAATTATTCTTAATTTAATTTAAAATCGTTTTTATAATATTCCGCAATTTAATTTGTATTAAATTTGTTCTTCATTTAGCATTGCACATACGTACACATTTTTCGATCATTTTATAAAATCTCTAATATAATTAGAATTAATTTTAAATCGATTATTAATTGATTATTTGTTATTCACATGAGGGGGATGACGTTGATGCGATCGTGCAAAAACAGAAATCCTTCGGCGTTCTCTGGAAATTTGTTTAACTTCCACTAACAATCCCCGCGGTCCTATTTGGCAAGCGTTTGGCAACGGATCTCAATAGAAAGTGTACGACATCCCTCGTCTCCTTTTTGCACCTGTCACCCACAGCGCATTGTAATTTCCGGATTCAACGCCGCCCCTCGACTAATTGGACCAGCTAGCTGTTCAGGCGCGTAGATGGAACTCGCAGCCGTAATCCTAGTTATGGACCGCCAGTATGCGATTTTGGACTTTCCGCTATTTCGCGAATCCCTGACGTTCACAATTCAAGCTATACCACACGCGGAATCCATCCGCGCCCGCATCTGTTTGCGTACGCGCGCAAATCTAATCCTGATTGAATGCAAACGATGTGTGTGCCGGAGACAAGATATATCCTCAAATATTTCTGCGATATCGATACAATTGCTGTTGGCGTTTGGATACGTGATCATTAATTATTTATTAGTAAAACCGTCGGTCGCCGCTATCGATACCGTTGTTGTTATTGACTATCGAAATTATGGCGTCAACATTATTAATTTGATAGCGTATTATTATTGCATTACCCGATACTCGGATGTTATGGCATCTGAGTGTAAACTGTCGGCCAACGATTTACCTTTCCCGCTTAATGCAATTATGCACTCTCGTTTTCTCGTCGCTCTTTTAATTTCGCTAGACGCGCCGAGGAAAATTCGTCTGCCATGAATTCCGTCGTGCGTCGAAACAATGACTATGTACATTCACGATGTTGGGCGCTTCCGCTGCGACATCAATGAGAAGGTGTCCGACAAGGTAATCATCGCAACATAGTCGCATCGAGGGACGGTATTGAATGGATATTCACTCTGGGATGAGTTATCCTCCGCGATAGGAAGGCGGATTGCATTCATATGCAAATGTAATAATACCAATATAGCTTTGGCCCGCGCGTTTCGATGAATCGCGGATGTAAATGTAACGAAGGCCGGATGTATTATTGTGACTATCAAGAAGCATTAACGTTACTTTCCGCGAAAAGTATCTATGGTTCGGCCTTTTATTTGTAATAATACCATGACATTATTACAAACGCATTAAGATAACAAAACGGAATAATACGAGAAGGGCATTTCCCTCCGGACAGTCGGCATCATTTCAACCCGTATTTTTCCGCCGTCGCAATTTTTAGGAACAATAAACCGTACATATTGTATTTCTCCAATGTATTTCATCTTAATTTTCCATACCTTTTCACGCTAGAGATGCTCGGTGCCGCTGACAAAGCCGTTTATTCTCCCGCTGAAGAGAAACGACGTTACTTTTTGTTTGTACAAACGACGCCGGTTCCCTCTTTTCTCTCAACGCTTTCATAACAAGCGCCCGATTGTTACTTGGGCGGCTTCGTCGAAACCAATCGATTGAATTTTCGCGAGATTATAAGGCTCGTCGGCGACGCGCATTATCGCGACTATAGGGGCTAATTAATTCGTGCGTATCTATTATACGCGCGCGTGTTCGCCCATTCGCTCGAAATTAATGTCATGCGGATTGTGCAGCCGTGGAAAGCGGAAAACTGGCGTTGTTGGTTTGTATGAATTTCCGCGCCGATGCGATAGCGACTGCACTCGTCGATGTGAATAATCGATTTTGACGCGAAACAGTGTCGAGAGTACTACGACAACAGTAATAACGTTAACAATAACGATAATAAATGCTCCTTAGCGATATTAATATTTTTAATGTCCACTAGTACACACAGAAAAATATTATTGTACAGTCAAGAAAAGTAATAACTCAGTTTATTTTATTCCGTTTAAGTAATAGTTTGCTTTAACAAAGAATATTTTCTTAATAATAGTTTTAAGATATACTTGTTACTAGTCTTAGAAAAGCTTGCCATGTTATACTCAAAGAAAGATTTTATTCTTCTTTGAAGAAAATTATAAAACTTATTGAAGAATTCTGTATGCTTCTTTTAATAAAATCAGAAGAAACAAAATTCTTTTGCTTCAAATAATTCTATGTATTCTTGTTTCAAGTACTAGACTTACTAAGAACCAGAATATGTTTTGAGTAAATATAACACTTGCGACGACATTATGGAACAAATAATCTTTACTTGCAGGTAGTATATATTTTTCTGTGTGTATTAATGTGATAATACAATGGCATAGTAGCTCAATACGTATTGAAACGTTATTTTATACTGTCGATTAATAATAAAGAATTTTCTTTTAAAACTTATCCTGAATATTATGTAACCGTGGGACACCACGGCACTTCGAACGACTTTACGATTTAGTATACATTTTACTACACGGAGAGAATTTTCTCTGAAAATCATGTAATCGTGGAACAACATGCCATTTTCAAGACCTTTATGAAAGTTTTTTGAAATTTCACCATACATTTTACTAGTAAACAGATAAAATTGTTTCCTTACTAGTAAAATGTATGGTAAAATTTCAAAAAACTCTCATAAAGGTCTTCGAAATGGCATGTTGTTCCACGATTACATAATTTTCAGGATAAATTTTCAGAGAAAATTCTCTCCGTGTAGTAAAATGTATGCTAAATCATAATATTGTTCGAAATGCCGTGCTGTTCCACAATTTAGTAGTACATTAGTAGTAAAGTTTCAAAACATTCTTACAAAGTTCTACAAAATGCCAAGTTGTTCCACGATCACATGATTTTCCGAATAGATTTTAAGAGACAATTCTCTCCGTGTATAGTGTCATAATTTGACTCATGATATTACTAATTAATTTCTATCAATAATAATGTAACTAGTAATAGCAGCAATTGTTCGTTAAACTTAGCCGCTGATAACATTCGCGTTGATCAGCCGCGACGTGAACGATTCGAAAAATAGCAGAGTATTGTAAAATAACTCCGAATTGTTCGGCGTCGATACCGCGACGTATTGCCAATTGCGGGCGGGGTGAAAGGTAATTAGCAAATTACTTTACGTGTAATTAAACTCTGATTGCGGTGGCGAGTGGACGCGCCGTACGATCGTACGAATGTGCGCGCGCTACCATTAGCGCGAGCGTGCAATATGTTAATTGATTCGAACATACGCGACGGGTTCCGGTACGTAGTTAGATATTAGACTCGCGTCCGTGTGGATCGTAAATTGAAAATTTCTGTCAAGTTCCCACGTTTGAACGCAAAAGTATCCGCCGGTCGATCGTTTCTAATTTAATTCTCGTATTACACGTCGTATTGGGCTCACTTGGTTACTTCAGTGAAGGATGAATTGCATTTACTTTTTGACAATTACGACAACAATGGGTACATATGTACACTGCTAAATTAAAAGAGAATTTAATACAAATTAAATTGCAAATTATTGTAAAAACGATCCTAAATAAAATGAAGAATAATTAGAATACACGATAATTATTGCAGGAGACGTTTAACCTGCGAGAAATGGAAAACGAAAATCGTTAGCTGATAGTTCATGTTTAAAGTAATTATTCATTTAATTAGATTAATTGATTTTTTAACATATTTAAACAGAATTTTTTAAAACTTTGTGTACTTGAGCGATTTTTTCTTTTTGTTTTCATAATGTATACGTATACATTGGTTGAAGCTATTCATCTTTATCATCTTATTTATTAGAAAATTTCATATTATTAATAAATAGCTTTACTGTAAGACAAATATTTTAGAAGGTCCTATTTTTGATCCTTGTCCGTTCTTTTACGAATTCATTCAAATAGAAACGCGCGTACCCGGTGTCTCTGCAGTCTTCCCTCGCGATATTGCGAACGTGTTGCAGCTATGAAAAGCACGATCGTAGAAAAAGCGAAATGGTGAGTGGCAAGCGTTGTCAGGCGGATCTAATTTGTATCGCTTTTCGAGAATGTCACATTCCGATTTAACGCGATTTAGATTTGGTAAGGAGCAAGTTTTGCACCCGCGCGAACTTTTCAGTGAAAGATAGAAAAATTAAGGAGGAGATGAAACACTCAAAACTTTTGTCAGTTTTCAATCGGCAAATAAGTAGATTGTCCTGTAGCATTAAGAATGTCAGCTTTAATGTAAGTATAAATTAAATTAACGTACGTACAAAAAGGCTTATCTATTTATATGTGAATGAATTATAGATTTATTTTTATAACAGTATTACTCATTTTTAGCCTATGACCTTCCTTTGTTCGTTTAAATTAAATTAATTTAGTGGCCGCGAGAGAGAAAGGTATTTTATATACGAGGTTTGCACGCGCATTCAAAAGACTGCAAATTATATTTTTATGAAACATTAATTTTCTCTGCAAACGTAGAGTATTAATTGAATTGAACAGATTCGTATATCTGGAATCGAAATATTGCGTTCTAGCGTTGTAATACGAGATCCGGAATTAATTGGTGGCCATAAGTCGCACAAACGGCAAATGTTACGAAGTTGACAGAAAAAAAAACCGGAAAGACAAAGAACGAGGATAGCAAAATGTTCCTGAGAATAATTTCTTCATTTCTGACGTCGTAAATCAAGATAACCGATTGGAGTGGGATTAGAATGGCAAAAATAGATGTATACCGGGGACGGCTGGCACCAAGGGATGAATAATGCTCTGTTTTCCGGCGTTGAATATTTAAGATTGTTGAATATTCACGAAACGCGTGAAACGCTTCGGTGTGACAACACGAATTTACG